TGTGATTGAGGCTGCCACCTTGACTTCCTTGACCTGCTTCTGCAACTGGCATCATGGTAAGACAACCCAACCCATCCTTGCCCTGCGGCTGCAGGGGTGCAAGATCCCTAATATAGTTCCTTTCTAAAAACCCTGTTGCACTAAAGCAGTGTTGTCCAAACTTGGCCACTTTAAGATGAGTGGACTTCAACTCCCAGAATTCCCCAGCCAGCTAAAGGGACACGCGAAGGGGGTGGGGGGTTGGCAGCAGCAGCTGCTGTTGGGGAAAAGAGAGAAATGTGTGTGTGCGCGTGTGCATGGATTTTTCTAATTTTGCATTTTCTAACCAACGCACCAACGGAAAATCAGCTGGCCTTCCAAATTTGCATTTCTTCAAATTTTGCGGTACACTTTGTCTGATTTTTTTTCCCAGAAAGAAGTATTTTAAGGAAAGTCTGTTCAAAAAATGCTCTTTGTTCATGAACATAATTTTCCAAAAGGTGTCCTGTTACAAACCAGTGTGTGTTCCAGGAAAGAGGGGCCCTAACACAGAGCAGCATTGTAAGGACATCTTTAAAAACATGTAGAAATTAGATGGAGCAAATTTACAAATGAGAAAACAGAAAACAAAATGGACAGAGAAACTGGAATTGACAACTTCAGCCAATCACAGCTACCACATGCTCAGACACCGTCTCTTTTCTCCGCACTAGCTGCCCTGACCAGCAATGGTTCTGGCAGATAGCCACCTCACTCAACAGTCCTACAAGGTTTCTTCTAAGTTAGACACCCAATCCAGTCTCCGGATCTGTCCTGGTCTTAAGTGGAATAAGTTCATAGACAGCCAGAAATCCTCCTGCATCTGTCCAAATGAGTCCATCATCCAAGCCAGTAGGAAGCACTTCATCTCCATTGAGGAACTTGTATTTGTCACTGATCATGTAGACCAGTGTTTCTCAACTTTGGCAACCTGAGGATGTGTGGACTTCAACTCCCAGAATTCACCAGCCAGTAATTCTGGGAGCTGAAGTCCACACATCTTCAAGCTGCCAAGGCTTTTCCTTCAGCTCCAACCCAGATTTCAAATTGGATGCAATGTCACTCTATGAAGGGACATCCCTGCATTGTTTCAATGGATGCTATGTGCATTTTGCCATCTGATTCATCAATTTCCTATGGGTTGACTCCCCCAAGAAGGAAGCCATAGGAGACAAGCTGTCAAATAGCAATGGAGGAACCAACTCTCTGCATCCACTTTTCTGGAGTCCTTCATGAGATAGGTCAGTCTTCTCCAACCCTGCACTCTCCAAGAGCAGATGAAAGCCACAGTCAGGAGCACCTTTGCCCATCTTCAGTTCTATCCTGGTTGCAGCTTTATCTGGCATAAATGTGCTGACGTCACATTGCCCTAGTCGTCTCTCAATTGAACTATTGTAATTTGCTTATGTGGAGCCAATCTTGAAGACCACTTGAAAACAACAGCTAGTACAAGACAGCTGTATGCTAATGATACAGCCATGTCATAGTGCCGTTATCGGAGCCAAATTGTTTCTGAGTGCAGTTCACAATGCTGGTCACTACCTTTAAAATGCCATAGGGCTCAAGACCTGGGAATGTAAGAGATACTGGGCAACAGAGAACATCTGCTGAAGATCCCCTCTTATTGAAGATGCAGCATGAGAAGAGACTACACCAGACCTCCCTCCAGTGGAACAGCTTGCTTCCCCACAACCCCTGAAGCAAGGCTGGCTCACACGATCTTGATCTTCCAAAAGCTGGTTTAAACCTGGCTGTTCTAGAAGATCTTTTGTGAACAATGTGAAGCCATTAGCATGCCTCTTAATGTTGAATTTGTATTATTATGTTTACTGAGTGTCCTTAATATGGTCATATTTTAAAATGTTACATTTTTGAATTTTAACATCAATATGGAGATTGGATTGAGATGGCAGAAGACTGATGGATAAATAAATGTATGCTGGATTACAGTGTCCCATAATTCCAGTTCCTATAGCCAAGGACTGTGTGCATTGGGAATTATTCAGGTTGAATTTCAGCACATCTAGAGGCAACAACAGGTTTCAAAAGTCTAGGATAAGTAGTTTTTTTTCCACCTCAGTAACCAAGAAAAAACAAAATAAATTGTGTTGGTTATAACAAAAAAAATCCAGAAACTATACTGAAATATTACGTGTATTAAGTCCTCTGAGGATTTATAACATGACACCTGTTTAGGCAATTCCAGTGCACCTATTCCTTATCACCAGCTCTGTCTTCTGTTCTGTTCCTTCATTCATACTTTCTCTTATTTAGCCATCTGACCCTCACTTTGGCTCCCATCAGTTCTTCCAATATTGTATATTGGTTTTTAACCCTTCTCCTCTTCTCAGCCCATTAAACTGAGGAACTTCTAATCTGCTTCAGCCCTGCTCTATTTGCTCAGAAGATTAATCCTAACACGAATACCCCTGACAGTCATTATCAAGTAATAAAATGTGCAGTTGAATCAGATCTCTCTCTTTATTCATCACTGACTTTGAAAAAAAAGCACCATGGGGCAAATGAAGATCCAACCAGTATCCCTGATCTGGGACTTGCATACGTAGTGGATAAAATCTGGGGCATTGACTGCATGCCAAGAGCTGCTTGGTCAAAATGTCTATACAATCATTGTTAAAAGTATAAACCAGGGAAATATTCCTTCAATTTTTTTCTCAGCCACAAACTGACAACATGCCTTAGGTAAGCTGCCCCCTCCTAGGAACTGTCCTCATTTGCACCTAAGCGCATGGCACAAAAATGCTCTACCAAGATCTTTTTTCTGTTGTATCCCCAAGATGCGACCTTCATCTTGTCTCCACCACACAAGTCAGACAGGCTTACGGAAATGGTCTTTAGCTGTAATGGCATTATTTCTGTCCTGCTTTTTCTCTAGGAGCTCAAGACAACTTGTGGGATTTCTCTCCATTTACTCCTACCTGGTGAGTTTCCATGGCTAAAGGGTGATTTGAACTTGGGTCTCCCAAGGCCCAGTCAAACACTTTAACCATTGCGTGACCCAAGGGCAGCCTCAAGATATGTAACAGTAAGAGAAAAGCCCATCTTCTCCCTAACTTCAGCAAGGAGATAATACTGCGAATCTACATTGCAAGACTGAACTATCGATTATTTGAGTAATATAGTGAAAACAGCACCAATCTTAAGCACTGGAAAACAACATATTTTTGTTTAGAAAAAGCTCTGTTAGGATTTTTATGGCCTAAAGCACAGATTGGAGATGTTTTTAAAAGATCATCGGTTGAGATAGTTTTCTTTTTTTATATGCCTATCATGACAACATGACAAGGGTTTCCCAAATCCCAATTTCTTACAAAATAGCATGCAAAATACAGGCAGTCCCCATTTAGCAACCATAAGTGGGACCGACAACTTGGTCATTAAGTGAAGCAGTCACTAAGTGAAACCATGACTATGCTTATGATCTTACTTCAACTTTTCTTTGCTTTACAGACCTGCGAAGATCATAAATGTGAGGATTGGTCACAGAGATACTTTTTCATCACTGTCATAACTGTGAAGAAACGCAGTTGCTAAACAAGGTCTACCTGCAGAATGCTTTTCCAGGCAAGACAGGAACCACAGGAAAAAAAATAGATGGGAGGGGAGTGCTTATGACCAAGCCACAAGACTGCATTTAGGTTTTCATGGAATGTGGGAATAGGTTAGATTTATCCAATTTAGACCCCATCCTGTGCTGAGATGGTTCTACGGTGCACATGTCCAGGTTTCTCCCAAGGATGAGTGGAATAAAGACACACAGAAATTAAAAAACCGCGGTGCCACAAAGCTGGGACAAACCCCTCACAAATGGGCATTAAAAAGTGACAATGATAGCAGTTTTGCCACATCAGCCTCCTGTCTACCCATCATGAATGTAGGCCTTGAAACAAATTTCCCAAAATATGTTCTATCCCTTTTGGAAGTTTAGGGATGATTGATGCTGGGTTTTTCTTTTTCTCTTTTTTCCTTTTTTTGCACAGTTTGAGCCTTTGGATGAAGTTATTTGGCTGCAAGAAACAAATTGCACTGCAGGGGAATCAATAATTCATACGAATCTATTTTTTAAAAAGGGGGAGGCAAAATCGGGTGGGATTTGAGAGTCCCCAGTAATCTAAAGGTTACTAATGATGAAATATTTTGGACGGGAAGAGTGCCGAGGCAGGATCCCTGGCATTTTAGGAGAATGATACAATTTGTCTGCCTTTGCCACCATTGCTTTTATGACGATAATGCTGTTTTGCTGTTCTATTGGCTTGGGCATGCTTTTAATCATGCTCCTGTGGACTGCCCTGATATCTCCAGGGATGAAGGATGAATTTAAAATATGTTAATCCCTGAATAAATACATACAAAAAGGAGACAAATATCTATAGCTCCTGGATTTAGTGGGAAACTCCCAGGCCTGGAGGAATGGGTAAACAGATCTTTAGGGCAGGATAGGTCAAGTGGGCAATATTGCAGCTCACCCACATTCCATCTATGGCTTCCAGAGCCTCCTAGAGAAGAATGGGTGGGACAGAAATATGGATCTATTCTTTGATTAGTGGGGGAGTATAAAATGAGTGCCCACCACATCTTGTAAAACCCCCTCAGGATGAAAAAGAAGCTCAACATTTCAGCTCTGTCCACTCCTGTGAGATCACATCACTGGCCACAAGTCTGCAGCCTCCAGTCGCATTTGAGAACAACAAGGCACGCGTGTACCAGCTGAAACAAGGTTGCAGACCCCAGCTTCAGGGCGTCCAAACTGAAAGCCTCATCTACTGACTGGAGAAGAGGAGCGAACTGTGATTTCACACACCCCTCTCTCAGAGGATTTGTATTGCTTTTAAACGTGTTTATACATTATTTGGAGGTAGGTATGAGCAGTAAGGTGGCCAGATTTCCACCAGATTTGCGAGTGGCTCTGTCTTGTTTATGGTGACAAACCAGAAAGTGACAGTTAAAAGCTTCTGTGCGATCTCCTGGAACTAGGGACATGGACGTTCAAATAGCAAATGCAATTGAATGGAAACAAATCTGAAGTAACTCACCCCAGGGAGACAAATCCTCAATTCACATATCCATCAATGTAGTCTCAGTTGGCAGTGACAACTGGTTAGGAAAAGGATCTTGCAGAAGTAGTGAAAATGTCCCACCAGGTTATAAGTGTAGGGAAGAAGATTCATCAGGAAAAAAGAGCAGGAACTGCCAAGAGCGTAAGGTCACTAGAGAACTCTAGGATGTAAATCTGATCATTACCCTTCAAAAAAGACACTGAACAACTAGAAAAGGTGCAGCTGATTGCCATCCCAGTGCATCATTCCCTCTTTTTTTAAAAAAAGTTTATTTCTGGGAGATTAGACAGATGGTTGGAGAGCTGTCCACCACACTATCTTCCCACTTGCCCCTAACAAGCATACCCTGGCAACATATTTTTTCTGCTGCGTCCTCATGACATTGCCTCTATCTTGTCCATGAGTGAAACAGACGTAAGTTGTCCTCAACCATATCTGTGCCAAAGCAGTCTTTTCCCCCTTTTTCTGACACTATCCAAGGGCAACCTCAAGAGTGTAAAATCTCTTAGGCTTTTTCACTCAACGCTTATTAAACATTACAATTAAAAAGGTATAAACTAATACAAACTAAAAGAAAAAAATAGAAAGTGCAGAAAAGAAGAACAATAGAAAAGAAAGAAAAATAAGAATATAGTAAAGAAAAGGAAAAGAAATATATAAAGGAATTATTTCCCCCTTCATCATAACAAGTATAAACAATTTTAGTAA